ACAAATCTGAAGAAGAATTGATAATTGGATTCGACATCATTGAGGAACATGGGCCTCGAGACAATGTGCGGAACGAGCAACTTCGTTGAGTTACCATACAGACATCATGCCCTACGTCCCCCATCTACAAATGGTCAACAACACTGGTTGATAAAGCATTGAGAGGTCTGAGCAAAGATGGAGTCCTTGCAGCTGTCCACGAGACATTGCCTTTTGGGAATCGATTCCTTCGATTGTTTGCGCCTTTCTGTCGTCGAAAAGGCAATCGGCTTCCATGGAGAACCTGGCAAAGGGAAGACGGGAAGACCCCATTGGCCCGAACCATCGCTATGCTGTGTCCAGGTATTGGACCACGCAGAACAACAAGTCAGAGGAGGTCACACCAGCCTGCAGCCGAGCCAGCGAGTTCGACTTCTTTCGCGGACAGTGTGGTACTATGTGCCGGCCGGGCATCTTTCGATGATGGATGCTTGGTGGAGCAGCCCTTCAAGAAAGTGAAGGCCTTCACCGACGTGGGCAACATCGAGGGCATGTCAAAGGAACGGTGGGGGGCAGCAAAATGGGCACAGGGTCAATTGTGCACCTACTGCTGCAATGACTCCATTCCCAAACAAGAGCCCAAGGATGACATGGCGGTCATGGCCAAGAGGGCAAGGGAGACATGATGGGCCAGACACCGCATGGTGTCCAAAAGATATGTCTGAAGCCACATCGTGACCATCTTGAAGAGAACCCATATTGTGATCAACACACAAACCGGTTCTGTATGTGTGTCCAGCAAACGAAGCTCAATTACCCCTCATGAGAGAGCCGCTCAACAGCTACCTTGTGCTTGCTTCGAGATCAATTTATGACTACTTCCGCAAGGGTGGTGAGACACTTCCACGAGACTTTGAAGAGAAGAACGTCAGTGGATGATCTGCCAACTCCAACACTCGTCAACTTGTTCAGCCAGGAAGTTGCCGCTGGTGCTGATTCTCGTGCTGCAGCTACTTCGGAAGATGCAAGCCGATCTACCACACGCCCTGCTTCTCGACTTGCTTAGAGATTGACCAGGCAGCTCTCATGGACATTACCGGAGGCAAGCCCCACCACAGTTGAACGTGTGAAACCTTCTAAGGCAAGGCGGCTTTCTTCATGCAAGTCTGAGGATGCCACGGTGAAGACTGTGAATCGAACAGCACAGGGGCAGTGGGAAACCGGGCACTGTCCTCATCAGCATGCACAGTGTGGCTGACTTCAGGGTGACCAGGCATGCGCTCTGCCGTGCCTTCGCAGGAGTTCCGCTTTCTTCCGCTCTTCTGGTTTTTGGGCATGGACGACAAGCCGGCGCAGCGAGTTTACTTCAACTTGGAACTTGCACGAGTAAGGTGTGTGGCGCTGAAGGAGAAGGAGATCGCCTTCATAGAGGCTCAGTAGATTGAATCGAGGCCCCATTTCGGACATGTATCATTGCCTGTTCAGATCTCCAGACATTTCTTTTTGCATCCGCCAAACTTTTCCTTGCAAGTTCATAGCCTGTAGTTGAGCTAGTCTAAGTGGCTACTTTATCACTTTGCCAAGGGCCCGTCTTTTGCCAAGTTTGTGAGTACTCGACAACGATCATGCACGGATGCCGCTTTCAATCTATGTGGCTATCACTCGCTAGATTGCAGTCTTCGGGTGGTTCAAGTTGCATGTTAAGTATGAGGCGTTTCAGAGCGTATGCGGTCGTGTTGTGTGTGCATTCTAGGATTGTACGCGCGGCATATCCACAATAACTACTTGGCACGCAAGCCTCCAGAGCCAGATGGCTCAAGAGTGGTTGAGCATCCATGCCCTTCATCAATGTGTTCATTTTCATCTTGCTCTGGGTAGATGGCCGAAATTTCTGAACCCAAGACGGGAGATTGTTGTAATTATTGACACTTTTCGGTCGGCACTGACCAAGCACCATGCTTACAGAAGTTGTGGAAAGCTCGAAGTGGTGTTTTTCAATCAAGTGAAAAGTGAAAGAACTCATAAGCCTTTGAACTCTTGAAGAACTGTGGGCTCACCGTTTTGGCGGGTTGTTCTTTCTAGCAACTCATTAAACATCACTTGCTTCGTGTAGGTTAAGCGCGAGCTGCTTCAAAAAGCCTGAACTTTCGTGCGCCCCAGCTACTGCACCGCCCCGGCGGACGGGCAAGAAAAACTTCCGATCCTCCGTTTCCAAGGCAAATCAAGTTCACGGCTCCCCATCCGCTGAACTTGGTGGCCTCCTACCTCCTCATCGACCTTCGCCAAAGTGGATACGTGGCCTCTCGGCGATCGGAGCAACGCCGAAGCGCGGATTGGGGTTTGTATCGGTGATTGATTGGATCTGGAGGAACTGATCGGAGATGAACATTTGATGAATTTGATGCGTTGAATTTTCGCCGTTTCCACGGTTTTCTCATGTGGGGTTGTCGCGTTGATCCTTCATGCATTGCAACGTTGGCGTGCTTGCAGTGCGTGGTGCAGCCGGTTACAACTCAAATGTGCTTGATGGAACCAACATCCGTTTTCCGGGAAAACGTCAGGACAACAACTTCGACATGATGTTGTTTGACATTGAACATCCAATACGTACCCATTTGAAGACTCTTGATACGGGTTGTTTTTCCTTTGACAGAAACTAAAAGATGCGTTCACATGTTTCAGCAAAAAAACTGTAACTGTAGTTTCACGAGATCACTGGCGTTGCACGTGTTTAATGTTTTTTAGGGGGGAACTATAGAAAATTCCCTTGAACGAATCTAGGAACTTCGTCTCTACTCCTGGGTGCCCTAAAACACATCATAGCCCATCAGCAGCAAACGTTTTTCTGACGGTTTCGTGAGTTCATGTGATTCTTCAGTTTCATCTTTCAGGAAATCTACGGCCCCAACACCCAGAACGTCTACGGACATTTGCAGGATTGGTTGGTGCCGTGGCATAAACTTTCCCTTGTAGGATGGATGATATGGATGGATCATAGCACAATTCCCACAATTCTCAGAGGATGCTAGCTGGAGACTCATGGGAGTTGACCGGAGACTCATGGGAGTTGATCGGAGAGTCATGGGAGTTGATCTAAAGGTCTCTCTTCTTTCTAAAGAATGGCTTTCTGGTGCCTTTCAAGCCCTTCGGGCGTTCGAATGCGAAGGTTCCCTTGCGACACGCACACGCCCAGCAATGATAACCAAGCGATGCCGAGTCTCCGCCGGGGGGGAAACAAGAGTCGCAAGCAAGTCTCCTTTGCAAAGATCGTGGCTTGTTTTTGAGGCATGCGGGAGTTGTTCCTTTTCTCATCTTTTCTCATCAAGAAGAGTCGGCGCAAAAAAACGACCTCAATGATTCGGGGATTCGTTGGGGATTTTGGATTGGTAGTTCACTGACCGGAGAAACGGAACGAGTCTCGAGGGCTTAGGACCTGACTAGCTGGCAAAAGATGTATAGTTGAACAGGGTCAATGAAGATTAATTGGAATCCTTTTGAATCCGTTTGCCTCCGTGAAATTTTCTTGGATGAATGTGATTTGAACAGGGCGAAGATGTGATACGTGTCTTTTTTTCCATGTCTTTGCGGATGTGATTTGGACCTCCGGATCAACTCAAAAGGCCTGACCACACCACTGAGTGGTTCTACTGCGTTCGAAAGCAGTCCAGTAAGACGGTCGACGGTGCGGTCGACCGTGGCCGAGGAAAAGCATTGGCATGCCAAGTCCATCCCGGCGGATCCCCACTTCTGTGATCGCTCCACGGTCGCAGAAGTGGAAGTGGGAACCTCCAAAGTTCGCCCCTGTGCCGCTTCGCCGTAGATGTGGCATGAGCGACGAGCGCGACGCAGAAGGCACTCATGTTCGGCAGAAGTTAGCGAAGAAGTGAACATCAATAGTTGTTCATGGTCGAAGTATCAGGGATGGTCATGGGCTCCTTTGGTGGCTGGGTGACCCCCCTGATTACTGGAGAACACTGGTCCAGTAATTACCTGCTAGCTGGTGAACGTCATGATTCCGATCGAATGGGCAGGAAAGGACATGCCCTCACTCATCCGCGCCGCAGCGAGCGAACGGAGGCTGCCCCTCCTGGTGGCTCACCCGATACGTCGAAAAGGGTTCAAAGGTGGCCAGACAGACAGGGCCCTGTCTGGCTTACCAACCATGCTACGTTCAGAGAGGGCTTTCACCATCCGTTTCACCGTTGTCGCGTGAACGTGACCGCGACCTCCGGGGAGTCCGCATGCAACCGACGAAACCAGACGAATTGACCGCATGCTTTCTGCGTTCTTCGTTCGTCGGTCGAAGAGTCTTCGGTCTTCTCCCGAGGAAAGTTCAAGTGCACCGCCTTCCGAAAACGAGGCTCAGAAGGCGACCCTCGTCATCGTCTAAGCAGGGGAGAACCCCACAGGTGCCCACTGGGTGTTTGTGGGCCAATGGGTGGTCTATTGGGATTCTTCCGGGCAGGTGAATTTAAAACATATATTATACCCAGGACCCACATGCAGTGGTCGTGTATGCGCGCACACATATAGGTTATGGCATGCTATGGCTATAAAACAGTAGGGCATGGGAGGGCCGTTTGGTTTGGGGTCATTGTAGGGCCGATGTACTTCGAGTTCTGGGGGTCCTTCTTGGATGCCACCGCTTTCTGTACACCTCAGGACCTTCCTAAAGCTTGTGTTGAATGTTTCTTGGAGGATCTTGACCCCCAAGCAGCTGAATCATGAGCCAGAGAATGGGTCCAGGCCAAGGGTGTTGGTCAAAGGCAAAACGGGCCAAAGGTCCTCGAAGCCGTGGGCAGTAGGTAAACATCGAGAAGCATCATATACTGTAGGTATAGTATGTGATTCTTGTCATTCTGGGCACCTGGGCATTTGGTAAAACATGTTCGATCTGTTTCCAAGAGAGTCTCCACTCACACACACACAAGACCTGATCGTCTGACATGTCCGTGTGCTTCGCCTCCGGACGGACTCCGTCGAAGAAAGTCCGATTCCTCGCGCACTCCGAGGAAAACAACATGGGCCTTTGTGCCACGAAGCTGGTGGACTTTCTGAACAAGGTCTGACATTGGACTCGCGTGGTGGGGGGGAAAAAGGGCCGGTGGTCCAACAGCTTCGGCTTGTTTGATATTCGGATTGTGTGTGTGTGTGTGTCACCCCCTGTTCCGAAGGGACCACCGAGTTTCGAGTCACAAAGGACGCTACTAAGGCCCCCCGGTTTCGCTACTAAGGGCTCCTGGTATCGCTATTAGCGCGCAGCTTGTCAATTGTTTAACATGTTCAAAGCGCACAAAAAGAAGCAGGGGGCCACTCCACCCACCACCAGGGAGTGGCCAACGAAGAGCCTGGTGGTGTGGTGCTGAAAACGTACCTGCGTTTTTTCCAATTTTTAATTTTAAAGTGCGTTTGGAAAACCATGTTCAACCATACTGTTTCAGCTGACTTTTCCACCTTGCGGTTCTTCGCCATCCTTCCCATCGTGGTAATTGAGTTAACTGAATACAATTGTCAGAGTGTGTTTCGCTCAGCCGTCCCACTCGGGTGCTGAGTGTGATCCCGTCACTGGGGCGCCGTTTTTTGCATAGGAAATCATCCACCCCAACTTGCCACTTTTCACCGGGTTTCCACTGGAAGTCATTGACACATCCATAGAATCAACTGATGCATTGGCCGCCGGGCCTAAAAACGGAATTTGAAAGCACCAAAGCCGGCGACCTGTCTATGTGTGTCCACCCCTGGACAAAGGGTTCTAAAGCACTAACGGTTTCAGCCACCTTTCACCGGAATCCCACTGGAAGTCACTTACACATCCACCGAATCAATGGCCGCCGGGCCTCACCACGGTACTCCTTCAGTCTACAGTGATTGCATTCTTTCGGCATGATCTTCGTGCTGCTGCTAAGTATTCACATGTCCATGTCATGCTGCTAAGTATTCACAGGCCGGACAAATTAATCAGTGCACCCCCTCCCTGCCCCTGGGCCTCTGTTGCTATCCCACCCGCTAATCGAGCAACAGAAGGAAATCGCACTCAACACACTTGTGTGTTGGTGCCTTTCCTTCTGTTTCTCCTATCTATTGCTAGCTACCCGAGCGGTCTAAGACCAGAGTCCCGCTCGCGAACTACTTTCATTTAACTAAGTTGGCCTCGTCACTATACCTATCTTTCCTTCTTGCCCTCTTAGTCTGCTCTTGTTTTGTTCTCTTTGTCTGTCTTTCTAAGGCTTTTTAGGTGACTAGTAGTTTTCCGGAACGCCAATATTGGCGTTATGTGTACAAAGTTGTTGCCAGCAGATCGCTACTAGGAGCAAAGACGGTACTACTATAGGGGCCTCTGACCGTTTTTTTGCAAAGAAAACGGCGCCGACTACGGCAATTTGTGTGTGTCACCCCCTGTTCCGAAGGGACCACCGAGTTTCGAGTCACAAAGGACGCTACTAAGGCCCCCCGGTTTCGCTACTAAGGGCTCCTGGTACCGCTATTAGCGCGCAGCTTGTCAATTGTTTAACATGTTCAAAGCGCACAAAAAGAAGCAGGGGGCCACTCCACCCACCACCAGGGAGTGGCCAACGAAGAGCCTGGTGGTGTGGTGCTGAAAACGTACCTGCGTTTTTTCCAATTTTTAATTTTAAAGTGCGTTTGGAAAACCATGTTCAACCATACTGTTTCAGCTGACTTTTCCACCTTGCGGTTCTTCGCCATCCTTCCCATCGTGGTAACTGAGTTAACTGAATACAATTGTCAGAGTGTGTGTGTGTGTATTGAATATGGTTTAATATGTGATCTTTGTTGAATGGACCCATTTTGCTTGAGATGTTTGGACTCGAAAACATCGTAGACCTCCAGGTCTGCCACTGGAAGATGATCGCCTGCAATGCCAGCAACTTCGGCCGCTTCGGCGACCAGCGGGAGCCGGCCGCGGTCGCTGCGCCGCGCCGACGTCGCGGTTCGCTGGTGTCCTCGGCACGTGAGGAAGACCCCAGGATCATGAGAAGGCTGAAGTGAAGAACGGCCGGCCAGGCCAGATTGTGCACCAAGTGTGAGGATGCTATATAGATATTCTTTTTGAGGGGCGCCTGACAAATGCCAATCGTATTGTTGGATGTTTGTAAGAGTGCCACACCAACATGGTGAAAGCGACAGGAAAACGATTTGAAAGTCCACAGTGCATGACTATTTGCATTTTTTTTGTACACCACTTTAGAACATCCTAAAATGTCTGATGCATTGGGTAGTTTGCCTCCCGGTTTTTTGATCGGTAAATGAGCCCCATGCAGCTCCAGGAGCAGCAGATTGCTATCCGCTACGATGATTTCAAGCACAAGGCACAACTATGTTCAGTTGAGTAGCAGGGTAAATGTTCAGAAAGTGACAATGCAGATGTTTTCTCAAGCATATCAAGACATTCGAAGACACTTTTTGGGTGGGTCCTGAACGTTTGGGATCCTTCAATGCGTCTAAGACAGGTAGCCCTGACATAGGCTCAGGATGGCGGGATGCTGACTCCAGAATTCCATCCAAAGAATGCACTGTGGCCATGCACGGTGTAAATTTGATATGCTGGTGGCCATGCACTGACTTACTACATCCGCCCTGCTAGGATTGTGTCCATGTGCTGGTGGAATTGCGTGACGTGGGCTACATCGAGGTTTCGGGCCTCGAGGACGCGTCGTCGACGGTGGCGAAGGCAGTGCATGAGTTCCTGGACATCGGATGCGTGTGCAGGGTTGCGCCGGGTTGCACGGGAGCGCAAACTGTGAGGTTCAAGAAGACCAGGTGAAACTCGGAAGCTTTTCTCATCCTTTCTCCCCTTTTTCCAGATGGAAGCAACAAACATGGTGTCAAAGCTTCCACCATCCCCAAATCAACACCAAGCTGCATGTCTTTTGGGTCATCCAAGTGACGGGGAAGCGACAATCATGTTCTTTCGGCTTGTTCCATCGTGATCCATCGAGTTCGACTCTGTCGGCTCTTGAGGCCGCCCAGGAGAGGGAGCTGATGCCCAAGTATACAAGGTATAGGTCCAAGTGGTCCAACACATCTTTTCATGTCGACTCTTGAGGAAAGAAACCCTCCCAGCTTGGGATGTTAACACCTAATTAGTTCGATTATATCATCAAGAGTCAGTTTACACGGGCGCCCCATTCAGTTCCCATGGTCCGATGGTGAACCAATGGCACTGCTCAGGTTCATCACCCACCAGTGGCACTGCTCAGAGTACCGGAACAATATCTTCGAAGCTTTCAGTGCCAAGTACTGTGACCGAAAATACAGGCCGGGTAGTTCTCGCGTGAGGGCCGGCCGGGCAGTTCTCGGATTGGATATGTTTGGTGGCCTGGGGAAGTTTGTCCCTTTTCGACCCTACATCAGATTTAAATACTGGTTTCTACTGTCCACCAGTATGCCTGCGAAGTCAGAATTCGTGCGAACCAGGAAATCTATTTGTGATGCATGATGAATCTGGTTCGCTCAAGCTGTTGACACTTCAATTTGTACAGTGAATAGCTGTAGATCTAAACAATCAATTTTCACGAATCTATGATATTCCCATCATATGTCCGGATAGCCTCCGGTCTGGTCTCTGGTCTTTGTCAAGATGTGTAGCTGGGACATCCACCACGACTATCATCGCATGTGGACTCGCAGTCCACTCCAGTCGGACTCTTCTGGGCGGACGGGACTGCGTCCGACGATGGAGTTGTCCTCCATGAGGAGGGTATCATATATGATGGGGTTGCCGTGGGTTATAGCCGTTATTGTTTTCTTTTTGATGCCAGGTCAATGAAGGTATCCTCAGAAGAACCCACATCCATATGTCAAATCCTTTGTATGGCAGCTGCCGGACGTCACCTCCCAACCCGCAATCCTGCACCACCTGGCCAACCAAAAATGGCTGGAGACGGCGACAAAATCACCGGGGGTGGCTTGTTGAGTCTTGAAGATTCACAGGGCCATTTGGTCTCTCAGTGGATCGTGTTGATTGAAGACCTAGAAGATGAATATGACGAATTGAAAAGCACTCGCAGTGACCGCAAGTTCCCCCTTTTTCATAGGGCGACGGTCTCAGTCAGAATTCCCATCTTTGGCGTGAAAGGACTCCTCCCAACTTCTACCTGCGGGAGGGCTTGCGGAACACCTTGGGCCGCCGCACCATTGAGCTAGCAACCTTCATGTCCGCACAAGGCCAGGGTGGCTGGGGAGCGTCAATGACTCTGTTCATTCCTGACATGAACCTCCAGCAACTATTGGCTTTGATCGCTGAAAGGGTCAGAGAGGGTTGTAGTGGTTGTAGGGCGAAGAGCATCATGCCACCAAAGCGGCAAACATGGAAACAGATCTTGTACACCTGGGCACACCCCCAGTGGCCAGGGTGGGAGCTGGCTGCATGCAACGGAGGAAGCCTCTATTTGCCGAAGCAAAAGCAGAGGCTCCGAAATGGGTTCGGAACGTGAAAAACCCGCGGGTTGGTTGATCATCTAGAAGGGATGACCCGCTCATCCATGGTGAACATGTGTGAATTTCAGGTTTCCGTGTGTTCGTTTCAATCTTCCTGAAATGGAGCGAAATGTTGCAACATCATTTCTTTCAGCTTCCCAGATGCAACGGCCCAGTTTGTACTTTCATAGGAGAGCAGGGGTGAGACGGGGTCCAGTCTTCGCCATACCATACCCTAGGGATCTGAATACATTCTCAGGTTCGGTGCGACTGGACCCTCAAAACCTACATAACACTGTCTCCGTCCTCACTTTCTCAGAGGGTGTCGACTTGGATCCTCTCCCCGAGATACTCTCACATCCTGGCCTTCGAGAGGTCCGGTGACGGCCTGGTCCGCGAGAACCAGATCAAGTTCGTGGGTGATGGCACCGTCGGTTCCACACCGCTGACAGCGCGCCCGCTGCTGCTGGTCGAGTTTCGGACGCTGCCGGGATGCGATGCGATGGGGCGAGCCTTTCTGGAGCAGCTTGGCGGCGTTTCACCAGGTGAATGCCAGATGAATGTCACATAGAACCTAGGACCTAGAAGATGTTTAAAGAGTAAAGTCTTAAAGAGTTAACCCTGGTCTTTAAGATGTTAACTCTTTGGTGACTAGATTCGTGCACTTCTCTCTCTAAACTGATGCCCCAGATGCCCGGAGAATCAAGGGATTCTCTTCCTTCGTTCCGATCAGAAAGAAGCATCAACCTGAACACCAAACGCCAAGAAACCACCTCAAACATACCAGTTAGAGCATGTGAATGCATGTGACATAGCGCTTGCAATGGGGGTAACCACCTCAGCAGGTTCATTGCGCAGAGATCTAGTTTACGGCCTGGTGGAAATCAATTCTCCTCCACTTGGTCTCCCTCGTTTCCTCATTTCGTTGCTTCCGCGATGGCGCGCGAATAATTCTATCAACCATTTAATGCCTTAGGTGCAATATTCTCTCAAGATTATCAAACAGAATTATAATGAGAAGATAACCGCGATCACGTCTTTGTGCAACAGGTGGACGACCACATCTGGAACGATGTTCCATATGCGTTGAATTAAGATTCCAAAAGCCCTTGAGTAGATTGTGATCCATGACTGAAAAGATCTCTCTCTCTCTCAATTTTGCTTCAGCGGATTCACAAAACTCATCATAAATGACCACCTACTCCACCGAACCACATCAAAAATCACCACACACCCTATCACCGATCATGTGACCGCAGCAGAAGCCAATGGTCTTGAAGTACTGGCAAGACTCGTACACCCCTGCTTTGGTGGTTAGTCCACAGTGCCTTGCCCTTGCCATATTGCAACCATTCTACTTCCATTCGAAGAGAATTGAAATTCCTCCACATGCTGCCTCCCGAAAACTACCCATCCTTGAGGGGTCTCATCGGATGATGAGTGATTTCAGCATATTCGTGGCAATACATCGGACATGCATAAGGATACGCATGCACACGGCCATCGTGAACAGAATACATGCAACAGAAACTGCCGACTCGCCTGCTGAGCGATCCCAGGTCATTCATTGAAATCACTGGCTTTGATACCAACGGAATTTATGCAACACTTTCCGAATTTGTACAGCTACTCAGCGGCAGCATAGCTGGAATTGGATGTGGTATTCTTATGGCATTAGTACCTTTACAATCCTTTCCACCTTGTGGGGTGGTCGTTCGGCGGAAACACTCTGGTGATGAAGTGCTTCCAGTGGTGAACACTCTAGCCCACTCGTCCTACGTTTCAAACCTTGTTTTAACAGGCAGTTCGAGGAGGTAAAGGGTTTGCAGGGAACTCTGATTGGACCCTCCTGGACTCCTGGAAGAAGGACAATATACCAAAACCCATTGGTTGGGGGTCTCACTATTACAACACACTTATGTATAATTTTATACAATCTTATATATATAAATACATATAATATGGGCTTCCTCAATTTCGTTTCAGAGCAGTCAACTGCTGGTGATCTCTTGGGAGAGCAAATGTATTGTGTCTGTAGTGTTTTGCGTTTGTTTGTCTATCTTGAGGATAGGTACCAGTTTGGGCTATCTTGAGGATAGGTACCAGTTTGAGCTATCCTCAGGTTGGAATCTGCGTACTTTGCCCAGATAAGGTGCTTTCATGAAGCAATCAGCCAGCACAAAATCAGCCAGCACAAACTGATGCCTATGTTATATATATATAGACAATACAGTTACTCGTAAAAACTAGGCTTGGTAACCATTTGCATCAGCAAATTTGTTTGGTGAGCCTGTGTATGCCGGTGAGTCACCGTTTGACAGGAACCATATGCAAAGCCGTCTGGTGTCAAAAGCAACACCCTTCTGTGACCTGTACTCCTCGACCGAAAAGCGCGGGGTGGGGATCTAGCTTTTGTTGCGCTTGGAAAAAGACACTGGTAGTGACCGGCATGCAATCCTGAATCCTTTGAAGAGGCAGTGTCAAAGGTTCTATTCCAAATGATCCAGCTATATTCTACTAATTAGTGTTCCCAGACTGTTCGCCCCAAGACAAAACTATGACTGAAGTGGTCGTGGTTGCGGTTTGGGCCAGAGCAGTTTGGGGCTTAGACCTACTCTATCAGACCCTTCTTTGGTTTGAGGCTTTGCCTGTGAAGCTTTCCAAATGAAGGAGGCCACCTTGAAGTGCAAGGAAGGCCCGGGCAGCTGGGGTTTCCCGCCTCGATGATTTGATAACTCAGGGGTTGCTACAGTAACCCATATTTAATTAACCAATTTTTGATTAACTCAGAGGTTGATAACCCATATTTTTGATATGAATGAATGCCACATTTGATTCTCAGATCTGGGTGGAGACATGGCTGCCAAGCCGCAAGTCACTCACTCACTCACTCACTCACTCTCGCTCCCTCGCTCCCTCGCTCCCTCGCTCCCTCGCTCCCTCGCTC